TTTTTTTCTACAGCTCTTACATAACGACCACCTTATATTTGCAAGCTTATATTTCCTTCAAAAAGTTCTGTTTTTTTTTGTTTTCACAATTCTAATAAAGGGCGGTAATGTGTATAGCTCCTTTTTTTTTCTACAGCTCTTACATTACGGCCACCTTATACTTGCAAACTTATATTTCCTTCAAGAAGTTCTTTTTTCTAGACTTTGTTTGAAGCCGATAAGTAAAATCAACATACCTTTTTCGACTGTTTCAGTAAGACTACTCCAAGGTGCACCAGCAATAGCACTGCAAAAAAATAAAAAAAAAAACAGCATCTTTTCATTTGAATTTTGAAAAACTAAAGTTGCAAGCATACGATATCTAATTCACGCTAATTTGAATAATATTCGCTAAATAGCTGTTTCTCCGCAAAACACATTTTTACAATTTATTGTTTTTCCGTCCTCACGCTATCATTAACGGTCAACATATGAGACTGCATTTTTCCCCAATAGTCAAAATTTTAGTTTGCTACAACAACCCAAACTACTCATCACGACTTTCAACTTTGACAGTATAGTTTTAAATATCTAACTGCCAAGCAGTATCTTTTCAGAAGTGATTTACATTCATCATGACTATGAGCAATGCAAGAACCGTCCGTATAATGGTACTCATGCACATCCACAGCTAACGGGATTCTAGTGAGCTCCGACTGTGATGTATATTTTGAAAACTGAGTAATGAAGCCATATGGGCCATGAGAATGAAACGATACGGTAACATTTAGTTCATTAGTATGTTTCTGCAACGTTCAACTCTACTACCGCTCACTGTGTTTACCCAGTACGGCAAACAAGTAAATTTACTTCTTTCTCGTTCAAATAATATTTCCAGTATATCAAAAAACAACAAAACAAAAACTCAGTTTTTTCATCAGGTCAATCCACTTAAAAGGAAAAAAAAAACTATAGTAAGGAAAAAAATATCTGCAAAATGGCGTGCAGAGACTAATTGGTCCTCAGAAAGAAAAGAAAGTAAAAAAAATTTCTGCATTTGAAGACATTATTTTACCGACCAAATATTAATTCCCTTAATTATATAACCCGTCTTCAATTGCTGCTCTCGCGAAAAAAATGAAAATGAAGAACAAAGCAACCGCTGTGCTGAACGACGACGGTTTTTTCGCCTTACCAGTCAATCGTGCCTTAATTTGTGCTGTCGTTCATTCAAAACGGTGCCGTCAAAGTGTTACTTGGGGCAAGAAAAAGGAAAAAACGGCAACAAAATTAGATAAGTTGCAAAAGTACCACGACTTCTGCCAGCAATAATCAGCAAGAAGGAACACTAATCAAGCACCAAAGAACTAATAGCCTAAACGCTGTCTTCTACCCTCGATCGTCCCAGCGACAGTCATTTTCGTCGCTGTAACCTTAAGGCTCGAATGACGTTGACAAGACACATCAATTAACGATATGAAAACGTTGGCACTTTGTCAACTATACTTCCCGCACTTTTTTCCGTCTCAATCATTCAATCAGCTCCGCAGAGTTTCTAAAAGTTGCATAAGTTTACCCTTTCCACCACCAGTCCAAGCGTGCTAGAGCTAATTCTGCTCTACAAGCATAGTTCCAGTTGTATTTATAATTTATACTAAACTACGAATTGATTGATTGTACTTCTGAACTATGTACAACTACCGGTTGCTTGCTTTCAAGTTTTTGCTTCAATGTTATTTTTGATGGTTGCCGTATCTTTTGATTTTTCGAGTATTTTCTGCAGCTTACAACGTGTTAGTAATTGGTGTTGTCGTTGTAGTCAATGTCGATAGGTCCTTTCGTTGTTCAGTGTTCCAATACATCCCTTTTTTTCCAGTGTAATATGAACGGATAATGATTCGGGAAACCGAAGCCGAACAGCAGTTCCAGCTGGTTGGAGCAAATTCATTTCAAATATTACTATCTGTTAGTGTAATTTTTGTGTTCAAGTGGCTCTTTTTTTGATCAATTTTTGATTCCATGGTGAAGCTAAGTGGTATATTACCACCTTTTTCTTAAATTTATGAAAGTTAAAATCATTGGTAAAAATTTTTGAAGTGTACAGCGTATTCTCATCATTTGTATCTTTTGTATTGTGAGGAATTCATACTGTGCCTTCTCTGGGCACTTGTTTCATTCACGTCAAAAGGGAAATAAAATTTGTAAAAATTTTTGCAATGCTCATTATCTTCTCTGCCTGTCCAATTAAAAATTTTATCAGTTTTAGCTATGCTCCTTCATTTCCATGGTGTCTGTTGCTGCTTTGTGCACATCCGCTCACTGTTGCCGCAAGAAATCTAAAAAGTACGTTTTTTGCATAATTTTATTTGATAGTGAATGTCGCAAAATAAGTGTTTGGTGCATTGTTTCCCTAGATAATTCCTTAACTAAGGAGTTGTTTTGGGAGTAGATGATTCTTTATTGGTAACCCTCTTAAATTCTCTTTAAGTTTTGAATTAACCTTTAAAAGCACAGGTTTTGTGTAATTACTAATTAATATTTTAGTGCGACCACTCTAAATCTTTCGATTTCTTTTGCATTGCAGGATTCTAGAAAATGATTAATTACCGGTGGGGGGAGGAAGGGGTAGGAGTGGCTCACTCTTTGACAGTTTCCATCTTCTATAAGTTTTTGTTGCTAAGTTTATTTTGTAGTTTGTTAGATTGGTTGAATTACATTTTACGTATAACTCGTTTCACTCGGGCTTCAGAAAGGTGTTTTTTGAAGCGTTGTTTTTGTTTTGTGTGCAGCACTTTTTCGGTCACTTTATTTTTTTGTTTGACAATTGCTTTGTATGATAGACTTCTTCGCTATTTCCCTTCAGCCTCTTTTTCATCTTGTTACAGATCTGAACTGGATGAGCCTTATGGCATCATGGACGCAGGCGAAACTACATCCGCAGGTAACCAAGCGGGTAACGTCGCGTTTCGTGCCAATGGGGTGCCTAATCTTCCTCATCCTACTCGTTTTTCTCAGCCGATTGCTGCGGGGCTGGTAATGTTGGAGTTTTATTTTTCAGCGTTTCAGTTCCTTTAGGGAAAGTAAGAGTATCTGTTGCTGTAAAAATGCTAGAGAGATATTTTTTAATTGTGTTTTAGACTTTTAAAGAATATTTATTGTTGAAATTAGATACTGCCTTGTAGTAGGAAATTTATTGACACAGAATCTGTTTTTAACACCACAAATTTTTTCCAATTTAGAGTTCTTGCGGACTTCAGGCCCTTCAGAGGTCATCTGTTCCTTTAGCTCAACCTGCTTCTTCTGTACGAAGAGCATTACCTAAGTAAACTGATTTGCTGTTTTCATTTGATAAGAACATTGGTTTTAACAAATTTAACGACATTTTATTTTTTAATGGCTTTGTTTTCTTTTCACGCTGCTTGATTAATTTAGCCCTCCTCTCGCTGTGCCATCTCAGGTCCCTTTGGATTCATCAGCTGGTCTTTATTCGGCAATCGATAAAGTGGATTTGGCAAAGGGAAGAGTTCAGTCTATCCCTTATATTGAGGATTCAGTTAATCCAACGTACGAATCAATCGATGCCGAGACTGATTCATTTTCTGATCCTCTTTATTCAAAAGTATTGTTTTTTAAATGAATTTTTGGCGAGTTATTTTATGGCTTATGCTTTAATGATTCAACCAATCAATTTCTTGACATTTTATTATTTAAATTTGTTTTTTAGAGACCATTTTTCAAAACAAATTTTTGCATTGTTTATTGACTATCATTTTGATTAGTTTCGGGAAAGTTATTTTGGGGCTTGCTGTTCAAGGTATTTATATAGGATGGTTATTGGTGTTTCTGGCAATATCAAAGGTTTTACCCACCTCTTAGTTTGTTAGAGATAAGCTCTTTGAATCTTCTTGTTTATTCATTATAGTCACGAAGCTTTAGTTAGATATTGGAAATCGAAGTGGTAGGAAATATGATTATCCGGCATTCGTTGGGCAACATAGAGGTAGTGGAGAAGAAGCAGTGTATCAAAGTGCATCCCAGATCTATGGAGGTGGAAGTGAAGATCCATATAGGTGAGTCAGTATGCTTTTTTTCTTCTTTCTCGTGTTATTCTTAGGAAGTATGCTACCTGTTTTTTGTTCTATTATTATTTTTAATTTAGTTCTATCGCAAGTCACTCTGTTACTGAAGATAAATACAATGTCGGGTATGCTGCTTTTGGAGATAGTTCTACTAACGGTTTTTCGTTTCCCCAGTGCAGTACGGCTCATCAGTCAACAAATGAGAATGTTGATCAGCTATATACAAAAGTAAATTATAAGTCTTTTTTAAAAATTATTCTCAAGTTTTTTAACTTCTTCCAAGTACAAGCTTATCGTCATGACACTATTAATAGGTTGTTTCTGCTGTGTTTTTTAAATGTCCTGCTAACTTTTTTGTTAAGTTTTTCTGAAACGACTGTTTTCCTAAAGGATTGTTCAACATTTTTCAGAGCTAGGTAAACCCGTTTTAAAATTGCTTTTGCGGTAGATGAAATATTTTCTTTAACGTTTTCCTTTCCAGATACAGAGAGATATTCCGAGGAAAAGGGAACCTGGCGTAGAGCCGTACTCACCTGCTGATAGTGGAAGCCCCTTCGAATTTGTTTCGTACCCCCAAAGTGATAGTGAAAAGGTGTTTCTTAGTCGTTGATATATCTTATTCGCACATGTCACTTTGCCCTTCGGCCTCTATTTTTCTACTTCACATTCAGTACTGACACACGTATAAGTTTATAAGGTTTACTGCTGCATCTAATTTAGACGAGTAGGGAACCGTCATACCGGTACATAACAGTACGAGAAAGTGTTGATGTTATACGGCAAAGAATTAATGAACGAGAAAGAAATGGTGGAAGAAGTAACAGTGAAAGAAATGGTTTCTCTGCAGATTCAAGTGTGCCGTATCGTGAACACTTTTATGCTTCTATTGAGGGTGGCAGTGATTATGAATCGGTTTGTTTGAGATTATTTAATTATCTGAAGTTTCTCGATTATATAAAAATTTGTTTAAAAATGTCTTCTTACTCTTTTTAGTGAGCAGTCGGAAATCGTGAAATTGTTTTCTTTTCTACAGATCCTCGCTTTCTTCAACCTTGAAATCACTTTAAATAAATTAACATAACACAGAAATGAATAGTTTGAAAAGTTTGCTTTTTTTGATTTGGTATAATGGTTCTGGTAGTGGGTTTTGAACATCTATGTCTGTTACTCAATAAAACTTTTTAACTTGTAAGTAAGCAGTGAACCTTTTCTTCTCTTCTGATAGTTTAAAACCTGTAATTCTTAATAGATATAATGTTTTCAATTTGTTACGTTAAATGTTTTTATTGAATATCATTGCAGGTTTCGGGTAATGCTATTTACGAACATTTGCCAGAGGATGGAGAAGAAAAATGTTAGTCTTTCTAGAATGTTTCTAGGGGCGCATTTACGTTTTAAATCGCAGTTTTTCTTCTAGAATACTGTAGTAATCAAGTTGAGTTGTTAGTGGTTAAAGATCAGCCTTGGAATGTAAAATGAGTGAAACGTTTTGTCAGTTAATCTTCAGAATAGCATTTCGTTTAACTTACAGAATGGTTTTTAAGATGTTATGAAGGTTGCTTTCAACATAACAGATTAAGATTTTCTAACTTCAAGAAGCCATTTTCAGATAGTGGATTGCTTCCTAGTTCATCGAACCAAAAATTTGGAGTCAACCGCTTCAACCAAAGTATTCCTCCGAAACCTCCAACTTCGCCTATTCCATCTTATCGAGACGACCACAAGGCTGAACCGTCAGTGATGGCTTCATCAACTTCGTATTCAGTAAACCTTTCAAATACTCCCAGATGTACGAATCGATCTGGCAGTGCTTTATTTGCGGGGCCATACAGCTACTTTTCTATAAAATCTAGTGGTGTTGCGAAACTCTCCAGTTCGCCGTCCGAGTCATTTGCGCGAAATGACGTTACTCAAGCTAAGACATTAGAGAATCAGAATTGCGCAGGAAATTCTGACATCAACGGTCATCCTGAAATGCGTAACACTTCAAAATTTCCAGAGTCAGTACGAGAGACCAGCGAGACAAGTGTTGCTGGTAGATACGATGATAACGGTTTTCTGCCAGGATCCCTCATGCCGCCTTCTGATTCTAGTAATATAATCAAACCTTTGAAAGATTTAGAAGCCGGAAATTCAGATCTTCAACGACAAGCTCTTTCTTCTGAAAATTCTGATTTTAATACTGTTAACGAGTCCGCAAGCACATTAAGTACGGATGAAGTGAACGTTTCAAATCAGACTACTGTTTCTCGAGGTCACATCTGCTCAAGCTCGCGCTGGATGAGTGCTGAGAAGGCTTTAAATATGGCAAATCCTGATGGAGTGAAAAAGTCAATTACCGTTTCTCCTTCTAGGGATTTTTGTTCAGATTCTCGACTTTCTGAGAACAGCGAATCTCTTAGCGTTTCAGAACCAAATAATTTGAAAGGGCTAAAACAGACTGTTTCTTCAAACGTTTTTCTACCTTGTTCGCACTCTGGGGGTGTTGAAGAGGCGTCTGATGAAGGAAATTTAGAGCAGCCTGGTAAACCGAGCATCTCTTCAGGAAACTATGCAATCAGTCATTTTCGCAGTGACGAAAGGGGGCGAGGCAGATTAAATTCAACGACACTGGCTCATTTGAACGAAGAGCATTCCTTTTTGGAGGATCATCATGACAACTCACATCTCAGTGTTACTGACAAGAGGATTCGTCTAAAGAATTCATTTATTTCGAGGCACTCAGACCATTTTTTTGACTCGAAAGAGGAGCATTTGTCAAATTTTGCGCGGGATGCGGGGGAGGCGTTGAGTGCAGTTAGTCTTAGTGAGCAGTCGGGATTGACAGAGGAGCATGTATTTCCAGAAGGATGTTCTCAAGGTATCAATCTTCCCTCTCCTGAGGTGTCGGGTTCAATGGGCCCAAAGTGTCCAGAAGAGTTGAGCCACTTTTGTAATTCCGAAAGCTTTTATTCTAGCAACCCTTCTCATAATATTAGAGAGAAGTCAAACCAGTTTGAGCCTGAAGAGTCATCTCAGGATTATTTTAATGAACAGAAGCATGTGGCAAACCCGAATCCTTATGATAAAGACAGAACTGTGGACATATCAGAAACAAATGATTTGGAAGAGATGAATCGGTTGTTTAACGGTAGAGAAACCTGTTCTACAGCTCCTCGTAACAGTAAGATAAGTTTAAATGGGTCAACCGAAGTGAATCCCAGAAAGTTTTCCACTAATTCTGAGCATTATATGTCTGAGACAAATCGAAACGATTGCTCCAAAGACCGGTATTCTAAATACTCACAACTTCGCTACTTGAACAGCGTGACAAACACGTTAAATCTTAACACCGTAGACGGGTCAGGTTTGAGCACGGGGGAAAGCCGTCATACAACTTTGCGCGACAGTGAAGAAGTTTTGGACACGGTGGTTCCAGGTAACTCGAGGGAAACGGGGCACTTGAGTGCTTCACAATGCGGAACAGTCTATACTGGCTCCGAAGAAGAGAGGGAAGGTTCTCTACCGGATAATTCGTCTAAAATTCTTCAAAAGGTTCGGAGCAAAAGTTCAGTTACAAATTTCTCAGAGATGACTTGTCCATCAAATTACTCGGAGGGTTCGAGGTCTTGGAGCTGTTGCGTTGAGGTTTCAGAAACGACAGATAATGGATCGGAAGCTGGTTACGAATTTCAGTTACCAGTCAGCACTTCTGGAAACAATACTAGTGAGAAAGTTGCAATTCCGAGGAGAACTCATTTAGACAGTGACTCTCCGTTGGCATGTGGTGGGAACATTTGCGAAGAAAATATTTTGAATTTAAACGTCAGCACGTTAGGTGTTGCAAATGGCGATAACTGTGGAGGTTTAGAAGTTGTTCATAAAAAAATAGATTTTCCTCACAGTGATTCAACATGCGGAGGTGCGAGAACTGCTATGGTGCGCAACCGAGGGAAGGAAACAGAAGGCTGTGAGAGAGCTGAAGAGGTTAGGTTTGATTCGTTTGTTCAATTATGAAAGATCATACTCGGATTGTTGGATAAGGGTAAGGGGAGCTTTGGGTGGATGTAAGATTAAACATACGATTTTTTGAGCGAGTAGAGAATAGGTTTAAAAAAGAATTTCAATTACGGAGTTTGTTATAATGATGCATGTATTTTAAACCAAGCATTAAAGCTATTTTTTTTGCTGATATATATAAATAGGGGCCATTCCACATCATTTTGCAAACTTTTATCAGTCGACTCTTCAAATTTTTTTTCGTTTTTTGCCTACTTGTAGCACTTGATATCAAAGTGTGAAATTAAAAAAGTTTACTCCGAGTGCACTGGCAGCAAAGTTAAACCGTTTTAAATTTAAAATGCAAAAAAAACTGATTTGTTCTCAACGTGTCCATCTTCAAGAACTTATAGCTTTTTTCATTCACGGTGGATGATTTTATAATTTTTATTTTGTTTGAAAGCTTGTCTCCTCTAGATACAGAAAAATGGTGGAACGTTTATATTAACAAATTTTTTTCAAAATCAAAAAAAGAAACCGTCAAAACGGTTTCTTTCGAAAAACGACATTTTAGATTTTTTAAAAAAGATATTTTGTGAAAGAATAATTTTTGCACAACGTAGAAAAATCGCAGGGCGATATCTTTTTGGTACGACGAGCTACGATGCGATTAATAAGAGCAGACTGTAAAAAAATTCCTAAATGAAGCAGCATTTTGACGGTTTTGCAAGTAACAGGGTCTTTGTTCCAATTAAAGTTTTATTAATCACTACAGTATAAATAATAAAAGTCTTCAACCCTACTACTTTAGTGACGAGTATTGAAATTTTTTACTTTTAGACAATTTTACAAAATTTTCCAAATAAAAAGTCATTTTTATGTTCACCTTTTCGGTCTGTATCGCCTTGCCTGTTTACTGAATCTTTCTAACCCAAATATTTTATGCTCAGTACTGTTTTTCGATTGAAAGTATTGTTTTGCTGTCACTTTCGCAGCTGTGTATTAATTTGAAACGGGGGAGGTATGTTGAGAAGACTGGCGGCGATGGCCGGCAAGAAAGAGACATTTTCGGTTTAAATCTTTATTCAAAATGACCACAAATGGGCTTTGAATTAATATGAAGAAATCTTAGTGATTCTAGCATTTTCACAAGAATATGAAAAGCAAGGAGCACCTTCAGCAACGCGTTCTCGGGCAGATTTACCAGTCAAAAGTGTAAAAAATTTCGCTGCGTTATACTACAAAGGGCTGAGAACAAAAACAGCGAAATAATCCTTGCAATCAGAAAACAGTACTAAGTTTAAAATATTTGGAATAGAAGAGTCTAGTAAGCAAGCAAAGTGACCGAAAAACTAATCATAACAGTAATTTTTTCTAGAAAAACTTTGTAAAATTGTTTGAAAAAGAAAACATTTCAACTGATTAATCGTTATTGAAATAGTAGGGTTGAAAAGTTTCATTATTTATATTATAAAAATTAATTAAATTTTACTTGAAACAAAGACTCTGTTGCTTGCGAAAGCGCCAAAATGCTGCTCCGTTTAGGGTTTTTTTGGAGTCTGCCGCCAATAATCACACCGTAACTCGTCGTACTAAAAAGATATCACCTTGCAGTTTTTATACGTTGTGCAAAAATTATTCTTTAAAAAATATATCTTGTTTAAAAAACTCAAAGTGTCATTCTTTGAAGAAAACCGTTCTGAATGTTTCTTTTTTTTTGATTTTAAATAAAATCTGCTGATATAAAAGTTCCACTATTTTTCTGAACCTACAGGAGACAAGCTTTCAAAAAAAGTAAAAATTATAAAATTCATTCATTGTGAATGGAAAATTTTGAAGACAAATCGCGTTTTTTTTTTGTACTTTAGCACGGCCTAACTTTGCCGCCAGTGCACTTTTCAAGGTAATGTTTTCCAATTTCACAGTTCGGTATCAGGTGCTACAAGTAGACTAGAAGCGAGGAAAATCTGCGAGGTTGACAGAAAAAACTTTGCGACTTGGCGTGGTATGGCATATATATATTTATATATATAGAAAGTTTTGAAAAGAAAAGCGCAGTTATTTTTGCAGCAGTAATTTCCAAATTTAGAGTAACAATATGTGGTTTGATGGATGCGATCGTTATTGATTTTTTGCTTGTTCTTAAAAGGGGTTTATGTTGAGGTCCTTCATTTCTGTTGGCTCTAGTTAGTGTATCTTTAACTCTTACACTTCTGTGGTCTTTTTTTAATCGATTGAACGAAAATTACGCACAATACTTCTGCGGTATTACTTTTTTTTAGCAGAATTTAAATTTAAGGATCGTGATAGTGAGAAATGGTTTAGAACAGGGTTATCCACTTCAATTGGCAATAACCGTCTTATTACTGCTTCAAACTTGAAGGAACCCCAGTTTTATGCGGTTAGTTTGAATTTTTTCTGGCTCTGGTCACCTAATAAGATTTTTGCATTGCTTTTTGAAGTTTTTTCCTGAAAGATTTTTACACAGAAAAAACAGTGACATGTATTTTAGTTGCCACGTTGAAACTTTAGTAACTCACCGAGATTTTGAGACTTGCCGTTTGTTATAAGAAATTTTTATTGGTAAATTTCAGAGCTGTAGGTTTTTTGGTTCTTATTAGGGGAGCGGGAGATGACGATGTAAAAAGATAACTTGAGTTAATTAATATTTAGTCCTCATTTGCCTACAGCCAGGGGTTTCAAAACTACCTGGGCTAAACCCAGATGTATTTTTACTTGTTTTGAGCATTTGATATCAAAGTGCTAAGGTGCTTTTTGATGCTCATTCGATATTGAATTGTTTTGGATTTGTTGGATTGTCGGGAGATATCTGTGATTTTAATTTGCTACTCTCTCGATAGCCGTTTATACAATTCTGAACAAGGCATTTAAGTGGATTTTAATATTTGTTAATTTCTGATGCGAGCTATGTTTGCAGAATTCTTCACCTGGACCGTCATCTCCAACTCCTTACGCATCAAGCTATGCCTCACTTCCAAATCATTCTCGTATACCAAGGCTGCAGAAGAATACAGGTTATTCAGCTTTATTTTTACATAGTTTTAGTAATATCTCATTGGGTGAAATAGTAATTGTATTCGGTTGTGATAGAGAAGAGATCGAATTATTGTTTGAAAACAAGACAAGTGGGGAATGAGGAACAGACAATTTTTGTTTGCTT